TTCTGGTCTATTGCCAAAGCTGCGCAGAGGAATTTCTGTAGCCGATCCCTTCCACCCCGTTTTTTTTTTGTTTATCGGGTACTAATAGCCGGGGAACCAGGTATACCCTAGAAAGGAAGTCCCTGGTGCCCCGACGTACCTAGGGCCATCTACAACAACAGGTAGACGACCCCCCCCCCGTGTGGGAACCCCATGTTCCCTCTGCTCCCTGGAAGCGAGCGCGCTTCGCAACGCGCTCGCCGCCACCCCAGCCTACTTCTGCTAGGGTGACAGATGGCCTCACCTGTCGTCTGCGACCTCCGGCGCCTGAGTCGCCTGCGGTACCTGGCCCGTTCCCGGGCCTGGCGGGCCGGGAGAGTCCTAAACCTCTCCCGGTTCCGCTCCGCCGTCTCCTTCGCGAGTATAACTTGCTCGCAGAAGGAGACTGCAGAGTTCCACGCACTCTGCTCCGCCCGATAGCCGCAATCAGGCTATCGAGCGAGAGAATCCCTTCCACCCCTGCAGACGGGCGATAATTTGTTGGCCTATGATGCAAAGCAGAAAGCCGATCTCCTAGGCGAACTTTTTGCATCCAACTCGACTTTAGATGCCGGGGCAACGTATAGCCGACCATACCGCGGTGCCAGACCTGTACGTCGGAAATCCGGTTTACCCAGAAATCAGCGCATAAAGTAATCTTTTCCCTCGATATTCATAAGTCGAGTAGGCCCGATGGAATCTCCCCTATCGTGTAGAAGACGTGAGCTCCGGAATTGACACCAGTTTTAACGCGCATTTTTCGACTCCTACTCTCTAGGCGTTAGTAGCGTCATTGTACGGAATCTTTCGCTACCGGCTGTCTACAGATGTATCACCACGGTCGCATCCTTCTGCGAAGACGTCATCTCGACGAGGTATGTGGAAACACCACATACTCCTAGCTCCTGCAACCTCTAGGAGCCGGTGATTTGAAATGATTTTTCATGACGTAAACGAAAAAAGATCGTTACTTGTAGTCTCAAAGTCTGTAAATTTCCTCAAACTCCATACAATTATTAATGATATTGCCGGTAACAAGACCATTTTTTTATTTTGCTGGTCACGTTTTGAACAGAGTAAGTGCAAGACAAGGCACTTTTGAAGATGTACCTAGTACTTACAAATTCTTAAACATCAATGTTGGAGAATTTTTTGACCCGTACTGAGTGATGGTTTACTAAGACAAAACTCGTCATTACAATTCCACATTCCTTTGAACCATTAGGTCGTGTGACATGAAAAAGATGTATTGCGCTCATGGGACCGAACAAAAAGACAACTATTGAAAAAAGATTGCATCAAATATTAAATGATCATGAATTTTAATACCGTATTAAATTTAGCCTCATTAGGCAATTTTAGGAATAAACAAACCTTGTTGTTTATTACAAAATTAACATTTCATCGAATACGTGCGTACGGGGTTTAGAATAAGACTGAGGCTTGTTAAATTTATTAGCGGAACTAGGGTTACTTTTTGGTTTTCTGAAGTTTCGCGGCAGAAAGCTTTGTTGGGTCTGGGTATCGCTGAATCTGTCCTTCTACGCGAGGTTTCTAGGCTCGTAAACTTACTCTCTGAGTAATCTAAAAACTCCTGTAAAACTGGGAGCTCTCTCGAATTTTTCACGAAGGCAATATAATCTCTGCTCTACCTTTTTTTTTTTTTTTTTTTGTTGACGGAGTGGAAAATCCCTTCGGATCTCCGGCTCCTTGGGGATATAGGAGCCAGGAGTATGTGGTGATTCCACTAAAAACCACTCCGACGGCCAGCCTTAGGCGCCCTGCTTTGGGCAGAACCCGGGCCATGTGATTTCAGGTCCCCCAGATCGACGCCGCACCTAGCTAGGTCCCATCTCAAGGAAAGCCAGTGGCTTCTCCCTGCCTCTCAGCCTATCCAGATGTTGCAGCCCGATCACATTTTTAGTGCGATCAGGCTGCCATCCTTTCCCCTACCGCAGCAATTAATCTGCCACCAGAAGTCCCCACTCTCTGGCGGCCCGCGGTCCCGTCGGCTGCTCATTAAGTCGTTGACGTCTTCTTCGCTCGGGATCGGCCCTCTCCCGATCCCGTTCAGCGGTCTCTTTCTGGAGCATTACAGCTTCATAGAAAGAGACCACTGCGCCCCAGCCCTCCTCACCCGCCAGCATGGCAGTAATGATTGCTGGCGGGGACAAGTCTCGTCCGATTTCATCGACCAGGACTTCGCGTTCAGATGCCCACGCGGGGCAGTCTTCCAGCGTGTGCTGGGCGGAGTCCCAGTCGGCTGCGCAGTGCTGGCATTGTGCCGTCTCCTCGCGTCCAATCCGATTCAGGTACTCACCGAAGCAGCCATGCCCAGTGAGCACCTGCGTCAGTCGGTAGGTGACGCGACCTCCCTCCCTTCCTACCCAAGTTTCGAGTTTAGGCAAAACGGCACCGACAGCACGTTGGCGCGCATTCCGCGGCTGTTCCAACCGCGCGCGCCACTGCACCAGGGCCTGTCGGTGAGCGTTTCGCCGCATTTCGAGCTCGTCCTGGTCGTTCCCGCTCTCACCCAGGCGGATCGCGCGAGTCTGGTCGTAGACCCTAGCGTCGACCCTAGCGATATCAAAAGGCGGGAGACGTGCCAGGACTGTCGCCGCCTCCGACGATATGGTGCGGTATCCCCGTACGATCCGAATGGCCGCTACCCGCTGCGCTTGATTGAGCATAGCTCGGCAGCGGGAGGAGGCGGATAAGCGCTTTGCCCATATCGGCGCTCCGTAGAGGGCCATGGATCGTATCACCGCACAGTAGAGGCGGCGAACTTCCTCCTGCGGACCCCCCAGATTAGGCAATAGCCTCTGTAGGGAGCCCGCCACCCCGCGAACTCGGGGGATCAACCGCTCGAAATGCTCCTCGAAGCTCCAACGGCTGTCCAGGGTGAGGCCGAGGTATTTGATGTACCGACCGACCTCGACCTCTGTTCCCCCCACTCTGATAATCGAACGGGTGGGAACTGCACCTCTGCGTTTCCTATGGAACCACAGGGCTTCCGTCTTATGAGGTGCAACCCTTAGACCCAGACCGCTGATCTTTTGGACGACACAAGCCACCCCTGACTCGGCGAGCTCTAGGACCTCCTGGAAGGCTGGTCCTCAGAACGGCATCATACGCGAGGTTCCACAGAAGTGGTCCTAAGACTGACCCCTGGGGAACCCCGCATGTGACCTCCCTTCGGCAATCTTCGCCGTCCCGACCCATATACGATATGGACCTTTCGCGGAGATAAACCCCGATGATGTCTCGCAGGTACGGGGGCAACTGATACACCAGTGCCTCTATAATCGACCACCAACGCCTATGACAAGACTGACGGCCAACGCCACTCCCCCCCGACAGACAACCTCTTCCGACAATGAGCGGACGCGTTCGATCGCGTCTAGCGTCGATCGTCCCTGTCGGAAGCCAAATTGGTTGTCTGACAAGTCAGGGCCCACTCGCGACAGGTGCTGGTTGATACGGGCGGCAATAACTCTTTCGAAGAGTTTCGCCGCCTCGTCCAGCAGGCATATCGGTCGGAACGCCGAGGGAGAATCTGCAGCCCTGCCAGGTTTCTGCTGCAAATACCAATATGCTGCTTGCCTCGTGCTTGAGGCGTCGATTTACTACTGCTTGTCGTATTGAAGCTGCTTTTGGTAATATCCTAGATAACTACCCTTTGCTGCTAAGGTTTTGCCACATATTACTTTGCTATAGTTCTATACTAATGACACTTTGTTCACACTTCAATCCATGTAATCCATATTTTGGTTTATAAACGGTCACTCACAAGTTCTGTATCTACACGTGCTCCTCAAAGAAGACGAATACTATTAAAACTCGAGAGGTCACGTCAGATACCCGAAGGACCATGTACAAGTTTTCTAAGCTAGATAATGATACAGTTGTTAAACTAATAAAATAAATTTATTTTACGAATCATTTTTAGAAACTACGCGGGACAACAGCACTGCAAAGAGAAGGAAAACTTGAAACAAACCCTATACCAACCCGTCTGGCCAGAGTGGTATAGTAGGCCAAACCCTCCTTTCTAAGGAGAGGCCTATGTCCAGCAGTGGACTAGCAAAGGCTGTTGATGATGATGAATCAACGGGTAAGAAAGTAAATATAAAAGGAGTGAGGGAGAACACGCGATGACTGCTAATCGTGTACTTAAGGTGTAATTATGATTTAGAAGTGAAGTCAGCAAATTACTGAGGTAACAATATTGTTCGGTGTCACCGTACGCTAATAAATACATACAAAGGTCCATAAATACACAAATCCTTTTTAACCTATGACATACTAAGTATTAACTTATTAATTGTGAATTGATTTTTTACAGTTGAAATGTGAAAACATTTTTTGTGACAACATTTGACATTGTAAAAGTTACCATTAGTGAAAACTAATGATAACTTTTACAATGTCAATTTTGTGGGTAATTTTAATTAAATTCCGCAATTAATCCAGTCAATTTAGACATCCGAGGGTACGAAAATTCGCACCCAGCTCAAAGTTGGTAGGATTGTTTAAAACACCATCATATATGAAATCTAAAAACCTGGAAAAAAAACTCGAGGTACAAAAACGGGTTCTCGCGATTTTCAGCAAAACGGCAAGGTTTATCATAAAATTAGTTCAGACAAAAACTTACATATTATAAAGATTACAAATTTCCAACTTTTTTTTTAACTAGTATTAATGATAAAAACTAGTTTATTGCAAAAGTGAAACCCTAAAATAAATGTTATGCTTATTTTGTTCCATAGAATTAAAATGAACCGTAATTTACATACAATTGATATAATTATAATGCTAGCTATAAATACGGTTCAGAATTCCTTATTACGGGTTCTTATCAGAGTCCGAGTCAGACAAAACCACCCGTGGGTAACCCGAGGGATTTTCCGCACAGAAAAAAAAGGAGGTTCTTATCGGAACACTTTCATAAGACATATAGTTATAAGAAAGGTCTTATTATGGAACCTGGAGTAGAAATAGAACTGAAAGCTTTATCCCGGCAAAAACCGATGAATGATATAATAGACCGTGGCGATTCCATCGTGCAACAGTTCTACAGCGGTGTCACGGTCTTCGTCACGGGAGGATCCGGTTTTGTCGGAAAACAACTCATTGAGAAATTGTTCAGGTAAGGAAATTTTATGGGATAAAGAATAACAAAGACTGAAAGGTAAAAAAATAATTTGTCACTCATGAGGTGTACCTCACATCGGTTTATATACCTTCATCTAAAAGTACTTATGCTTGCTAAATGACTTTATGAAATCATTTACAGTGCTTCACACGGTTTCTCCCAACGACACGTTTTTAGTAACTGAAGATTTGAATCTATCTTCTATTGCATGCAGGAGAGACGACCACCAAGTAGGACATGCATGTTATGTCGAATTAGGCACAGCAGCGAGTCATTTTGTTAGTTTTTTAGATTATAAAGGTTTGACCCAATATAATTTAACACCTTACCGAATCGCAAATTCAGCTACCGAACTGACTCTCATGCTACCGAATCACAAATTCAGCTTTCACTATTAGAAAGTATGTGCACTGAATTTGACGAGTTACGATACCGAGGATCATTAAAAAATTACAATTGCCCAAAACAATATTCCTAAATTCAATGGATCCATTGAATTTTAAATTAATATTGGTTAGAGCTTAGGAAGACATTTAGTTCTATGCTCCATAGTAATAATATTCTGCTTGCACAGAAATATCTATTCTCTTTACTCAAATCCTCATCGCTACCCGATACCCTGGCTTCACGCTTCCATTTCCTATGGCACTTCTTACTGAAGATGAAGAGAGACAAACTGATACGTTGAAGAAAAAATGATTCTGGGTACAATTTGTCGAGAAGAAGATGTACAAATGGTGAATTGTCCAGGCCGTGCCATTGTATCATTCGTTTAAATAAGAATTTAAAAAAACTTGATCAGAATTAAAATCCTTTACCGTGCCGTGACGTCAGTCACCATAAATCAATAATTATAACTTTACATATTTATAAACGAAAAAAATAAGGTAATCGCTAAATGTAATACTTACAAATTCAAATTAAAAATCAATGTTGTAAAAATATTAAACTGAGCTGAGTAGTGGTCTATTAACAAAAACTCCCTTTTACATTTTCTTTGAACTATTTTGACATAGCTTAAATTTTAGGTCGTGCGCCATAAGAAAGATGTATTTGCTCATGAGACCGAAAAAGAAGACAGCCATTCATGAAAGATTGCACCAAATCTTGAAAGATCCAGTAAGTTAAAATTTATTCATCAACATCATCAGCCTATCGCAGTCCACTGATGGACATAGACCTCTCCCATTGCACGCCACTTAGATCGATTTTGGGCTTCTCGCATCCAGCTCCTGCCAGCCATCTTGCGCAAATCGTCACTCCACCTGGCCTGTGGGCGTCCTACACTACGTTTGCTGAGACGCGGTCTCCACTCAAGAACTCGTTTTCCCCAACGGTTGTCGGTTCTGTTGATTAATAGAACAGTATTCGAATTTTGTTTAGGTCTGTGTTCTTGTGTGTTGCTTATTTAAATAGATAAAAACAAAACTAAGTTTTAGTCAGACTTCGATTAAAATCACTTGAAACTGGTCGAAACGTCAAGGTATGTAATATTACGTTATCGTGTAATTCCTGTAAGAATATATAATTAGATGGAAATTAGTTAAGCATTTGATTATACACACCTTATTCTTTTAAATAATTAAATCGTATATGATAATGAAATGAATTCGTAAATATTTTGTTAAATTCAATGAATATGTGGAACGGGTTGTCGTCTGCGGTATTTCTGGACCAAGCGTACTCCTTCCTAAAAGGCCGGCAACGGGTTTGTGACTCTTGAGTTGCGGCGATGGTCGCTTTCCATCAGGTGACCAGTCTACTCGCCTGCTTCCTCTATCATTAAAAAAATAAAAAAATACTGTGCCCTTTAATCCATTGGAGGAGTACTCCGTAGCATTAAAAATCACACTTCACAAAAGTTTTGACTTTATCCCTTATATTACTAAGGGTGCAATATGTATTACACTTAATAAAGAAAAACATATTTAATAATATAAAAATAGTAGACTTACTATACGGGCCGTACACAGCAGAACAGCATTTTGCTTCAGACCCTTGAACATCGTCTAACGTGAGCCGACAGTTGCTTGAAGCTATCAATCCATGGGGAGGTATGACTGTCGGAATAATTATCACGATCTACATTCCACAAATTCAAATATTTTATTTATTATCTACTAGCTTCCCGCGACTTCGTGATTTTGAAACGTACTGCCCAAGTGATACGCGACTGCATTCCATGAGGTCTCGGGTTCGATTCCCATACCGGGCAAAAATTTCTAGGGTTGTTCTGTGAAAAGTAGCTTACGTTACTCGTTATATAGATAGCTACCAGGTAGCAAAATTTTATCGATATCGCTTAAGCTGCTTAGAAGATTACCCGGAACAAACAGACAGACAGACCAAAAATAATTAAATTGGATTTTAGGCATAGTTATTGTGCAAATAACCCAGTGTTGCCGTTCTAGCGACAAAACCCCTACAATCTACATCTAGGGGATGTTAAGATTTAGTTTTAGAGAGTAAATTTGTGGTTTTAGCGGATAATTTATTTTTAGTGACTTTTGGGGACTTTAAGACTAGTCAAAATCACGCTAAGTCACCCTTATTTTGAAGTTTAAAGTAGTAATTAAAGACTTGTCAAATCTCAAACCACCACACAATCGTGCCTTTTTGGTTTCCTAAGTTGGCAACTCTGTTTAATCTGCTTTATTGCAAAATTGACCATAGACCCTACCAAAGACAAAAATATAGATTGTTTTAGTTAATTCTATTTTTCCTTCTTATAGTTAACAAGATTGAGTATGAGGTCAAAAGTTACGTTGGTACACTGTTTTGAAAGAATAAAACCATTCCGTTGCGTCCATCAAAGTTTCGTCGTTGTTTTCACAGTTAAAAGTTGATATCATAATTTCTTATTGTACGAGTTGAAATTAAAGAATCATGGAAGCTTCATTAAAAAAGCTATATACAGTTAAAAGAACGGGAAAATTCTGAGGAGTTCAAACATTGGTTAAAACCTGTACCAGGTGACTCCACGAAACCATTTTGTAGCTATTAATCATCATCAGCCTATATCAGTTCACTGCTGGATATAGGCCTCTCTTATTGCACGCCACTTCGATCGATTTTCGGCTTTTCGCATTCAGCTGCTGCCAGCCATCTTACGCAAATCGTCACTCGACCTGGCCTATGGGCGTTCTACACTACGTTTACCGAGACGCGGTCTTCACTCAAGAACTCGTTTACCCCAACGGTTGTCGGTTCTGCGGCTTATATGGCCAACCCACTGCCACTTAAGTTTGCTGATCCGGTGGGCTATGTCGATGACCTTGGACCCCTTAAGGAAACGCCGAGCATAGCCCTTTCCATAGCACGCTGAACGACTTTGAACTTGTGAACCAGCCGTACCTTAACTGTCTACGTTTCGACTCCGTATGTCATGACGGGTAGAAGAATGTTGAAGACTTTAGTCTTAAGGCACTCTGGGATCGACGATGAGAAAACTCGACGTAGTTTTCCAAACGCTGCCCAACCTAGCTGAAATTGTGAATTCGTGAGTTGTATTCTATTCACGAATTCACAAGTGAATTCTATTCCCTCGTCCTCGAAGTCATTTCAACTTAACTGCAATGTCTGCCAGAGGTATACACATTTTTGAACAACTTCCAGAATGGCCCCGTAAACCCCGTGAGTACATGTTCATTGAACATGACATTTTATCCAAGTTCATTTATAGCTATTGTCACTCAGAAATGTATGCAAAACCGAATGGTTTGAAGAAGCATTTAAAAACAAAAAAACATGAAACTAAAAGTGAATTGATTAAAAAAAAAAGCAAATGACTACAGGACCAGGGAAGATTTGTAAGCCTTCAGCAAGAGTTGAGTGTACCTTAGTTTGAGCTCATATTCAGCACGACTACAGCTATGTATTGGTGGTCAAATGCGAAGTTATTTCCGATATACCGATTAGCGACTTCTAGCGGATGTTAGGGGAACAGTTTTTTTTTTAAATTTAGAGTATTTTTAAAAACCAGCCAGCGACTTTTATTTTTGGTCAACGGCAAAACTGAAATAACCATGTAAGCATTAAACAAACCTATTATTTTGATGATCTTCTCGGGGATCGTCAGTAGTCAATTTCTTTAAAATATTCAGGAAATTTAACGGATATTTTTTTATGTTTTACAGGTATTTAACCTGGTGTATGAGAAGAATCCTCACTTTGCCGACAAGATAGAGCCTGTAGAAGGAGATGTGGCTAAGATAAGACTGGGCATAAATGATAAACAATGGGGACAACTTACTGAAGAGGTAACTTCTTGTCTATTCAAAAAAATAATTATGATTTTAATAAGCAAGAGCAAGACAAGTATTATTTCTGAAACTACCCTAAGCTTTAAGGTTTTCAAAATGCCCATAGACAATGACTATCATAGTACATACTCTGTCTTATTTGAAATTTGGTGGCACTTATGAGGTGTATCAAGTTATTATTTTTATCACCACATGACGTCACTACACACACTTTGTAAGAAACAAACATTGAAGAGATCATCCATAACTTGCCGCGGGTTTTCCGCTTACATTTGGACTCATGTTAGTCATGTAGTATTCTAAGAACTACAAATTAACCAATTTAGTAGATGTATTCTATTCTATTGAATAGAATACTTTATTTTGCTAATATGGGCAATACATGATAGGTGTTACATTACATTCACCAGGGACTTCCTTTCTAGGGTATACCTGGTTCCCCGGCTATTAGTACCCGAGACGGCGTGCGGTTTTAGTCGGTTCGAGTCCGACATGCCGACAGGTGGTATCCGAGGGGATTTCCGCACGGAAAAAAAAAACAAAAAAAAAGGTGTTACATTACATTGAAGCTCAACCATATTTTACCAGTGGCGTGCAATCATTTTTTGTATTAGGCCAAGAAAACATGCTTTTAGGCTCAAATCCACAATAATAATAATTTTAAGTTAATAAAAATCAGTAATGACACAATAGTAAATATACAATACAAATTCCACATTAGACATCAAGATAATACATCCATAATGATAGCACTTAAATTTAAAAAAATCCGATAAAAATTCTGTTACACTTTAGTAAGTTTTAGTAAGTAGTGTTCCAGTAGTAGTAAGTATTCCAGTAATAGTAAGTCTTCGTTGTCGATATGCCTAATCTGCTGCCAAAAGTTCCTTATCATTAGCGGCGGTAGCATAATGGCTACGGCGTCGGACCCGCGATCAAGTGGTTGCGGGCTCTAACCTCTAAACTCCGAGCAAAAGCGTTTAAAATTAGCTGAAAGGGATATCACGAATAAGAGGAACGGGTTTTATTTCTTTTAAATACAAATGGAGGTTATTCCGACCAGGCGAAGGGATCATGCCTGGCGATCAGCGGCTGTAGGGAACTATATATTTTGTATAAACTAATCAGCATGTGTACGCGATTATAGGATTAGTAGTTACACTGTAGTTCGGTCTGTTTTCATTAGATGGTATCGAATAATGCTTTTTTTTTGTATGACAGCTAGTACCCGTGACTTCGTTCGCGTGGAGTTAAAAAAGCGCTGCCTCAGGTCCGCCGAATACGGGTGTGCAGAGCGTGCACTGCACATGCGCAGAATTTTCAAGGGGGCGGCAAAACATAAAAACAAAAACGAAACTTTTTCATAATTTGCATATCTAATGTATTTTTATCACATCATAGTAACATCTATTGATCAGTGTGCAACAAACAAAAATTTATTAAACGTAAGAATGTACAATTTGAAGCACTCAAGATGCGGATGCTTTGAAGGTCACCTGTCTCTGATCCGCAAAGAGCCAACGCCCGAGTGCAGCCATTACGATGGCCAGAGTGTGGTTATGACGCTTTACACGCTGCCAGAATATCCAGCTTGTATAGAGCAGAGGCATGACCTTGTGACTAATTGCGACCATGGTACGGAGCGTCTAACTTGTCCTGCGAGGAAAAGTGGGATCGGGAGAGACTTAGAACCCTCACCAGGCCTGGGAACGGACCAAGTACTGCAGACGGCTTAAGCGCTGGTGGTCGCTGAATGATCTCCGTCCGCGCCGCCGTAAGCGCCGGGCCTGGGAGTGACAGGTGGCAGCATGCCAAAGCATACCGCATCACGTCGTGGCAGTTCTGTTTATCCATATTTCGATGTGTTTAGAATTCATATTACTTTACTTTTTCGATACCATTATACCGCGCTACTTCTTGGAATGTGACAATCAAACTAATTGAAATATAGTCGGATGTGCCGGTGTTGTCGGCAAATGGGGTGCAGCTTGGGTGAGTGTCTCTCGTGTTATTCACAAATTTCATACCCAGAATTGTTTTTGAGAGTATCAGTTTGTATTTGTTTCTCTTCATCTTCAGCAAGAACTGATAATAATAGTAAATCCCAGACGATCAGAACGGCGCAACCAACTTTCTATTCGCGCAGACGAAACTGATTGACTGTCCTTGCCCTGGACTCAGAGGGCTTTACTCCTGCGACCTATTTAACTCGCGGGAATGAAACCGCATGACAAGACATGTTGCGGAGTGCCGCGGCATACCACGACATGCCGCGGTATAATTGTATCGAAATTAAGTAATATGATTTCTAAACTCATTGAGAGAAGGAAAAAAAATAACTTGATTGGAAATTAAATTCATAACCACCCCACCGGCCGTCCGGTGGGAGATATCCGAAAGGCGATTTCCGCACGGAAACAGGGGCGGCTTCATCGGTATCGCACGCGGATGCTCGAACAGCAAACGGCGGCCCTGCGCTGCTTTAGTGGTGTAGTACGGTACGTGAGGCCTCGGGTTCGATTCTCGGATTGGGAAAAATTTCATAGGGTTTTTCTGAGAGGATATATCTATTTAATTATTTTATTTATTTAAAAAAAGTTAAACTGACTCCTAAATAAAGAACACAAAAAACTTATTTTACTTACTTAAAACATACTTTAAACTGTTTGTTCGTCGTTTGCCCCAAAAACTCATCATCAGATCTATATGAAATTTAAATGGGACCATTATTTTCTCTTCGAACAAAAAAATAATTTCGAATATCCGACCGTATATAATGAAGTTATGCCCGAACATACTTAACAAAAAACCGAATTGATAACCTCCTCCTTTGTGAAGTCCTTTAAAAATAACCTAAGTTACTCCTTATATAGACAGCTTAGTAGTAAAATATTATCAATATCCGTACAGCCGTTTGGAAGCTTACCCGGAACAAACAGACAGACAGACAGAAAAAAAACTGGTTTTTAGGCATAGGTATCGTGCAAATGACGAACAAACATTTCAATTTTATTTATTTGTATTGATGATGATTTTAACCTCAAAGTTTTGCTAGTTCTACAAAAACCTGTCTGCAGTTTAGATACTTTTAGAGTAACAGTATAAGGTATCGGTGGTTAAGCCTGTTTATACAGTATTGGTGTTTAAGCCTTAAATTCTTCAGGGGTGATCGTGAGGGGTGCGAGTAGTTATTGTTATGGGTCCTGTCTGTTTTGTGTGGATATTATTACGTTCTGTGCAATGTGTAAGTGATCTGTGCCTGTAACTTACATAATACCTCTTGATAATATTCTGTATTGTCTTGTGCTCTGTAACTTATCTCTGATTTATATATAAGTGAGGATTTGTAATTGGCTATCTGTTTTCTTGACTGCTTTTATTCTGATCATGATAGCTGTAAATCCTCCATAATTTGTAATAAATAAAGAAGTAAGCCATGGTCTTGAAAGCTGCATTTTTTTATATAATATAATATTTATATTATAATAAATAATATTTTTACAGGTAAATGTGATATTCCACGTTGCAGCAACGACGAAATTTAATGCACCGCTTCGCGATGCTACTTTCACCAATGTAGTTGGCACCAGGGAAGCTCTAGCACTGGCCAGAGAATGCTCCAAGTTGAAGTAAGTAACACATCAGACACATATTTCTTATCTTTTTCTCACACTTTTACAAAGAAAATGTTTTAACCTTCATAACGTGTTTACAGAATGTGAATGAACTAAGATAAAAATGTGCCAAATGTATCCATTTGGCCGCTTCAACCTTTGCTAGTTTGAGTATTCACATAACATCATCACATCACATCAACAGCCTTTAGTTGTCCACTGCTGGACATAGGCCTCTCCTTAGAAAGGAGGTTTTGGCCTACTATACCACGCTGGTCAGACGGGTTGGTAAAGGGTTTGTGTCAAGTTGTCCTTCTCTTTGCAGTGCTATTGTCCTAGGTAGTTTGTTCCCGTAGTCGGCTCCTACGACACACACGGGATGAATTGGGTGGCGACATTCCGTATTCTTTATCCGTCACCACACGGAGCATTCTACCAACTTAAAAACACTTACTAAAATCTCCCCAGAACGTTTAACGTATTTACCGACACAGATGGTAAAAAAGATTAGAAACACTGCCCTCTGGTAAAGATACGTTATAGGTAGGAGTAAAGATACTGTTACCTCTTATTATTGCTATGAAATATACGTATTTCTTCATTCCATAGGAGCTTCGTGCATGTGTCAACTGCTTTTAGTCATGCCACGAAAGATCGTGCTGGCAAGGAATTCTTAGAACAGTTCTACCCATCTCCCATGGCCCCCAATACCTTGATACAGTTGGCGAAAAATGTGGATGAGGAAAGACTTAATGGTATAACTGAAGGGTAAGTAACGCTAAGTAATGCATTCGTTCATTTATTTGCCTATGATCTGTTGGAAGGCTCGGGCTTTCAGGTAATAGAGCCAATCTGAGTTCACAGGTAGGCGATTCTGACCGGCTCAAGTTATTGCTAAATTTCTTAATTCATCCATATAAGCAATTTAGTATTACTACAATTGTCCTCCCTGTTTTTCTAACTATTCTTTCAAGATACTTTTGCCTATTCGTTTAAATGACAGTTGACTGCAACAGGGTTACTAGCTTGCTGCTTTAATTGTTTTGCATTATTATTAGCACCTAATAAAAGGCTCAACTCAAAAGAAAAAAAGATTTTTCTTCTCTAAAAATAAACTTATAATTACAAAGAAGAAAACCTTGGAAAATATCCGTATTCAGAGATAGATAAAAAAAACCCTGCCACTCCCTATTCATATTTGATATTGCAATATATGAAATAGGATTTTTTTCTCCACCAATCTTTTTGAAGGCATAGGAGCAGGCGGTTCAGCGGTAAGTGACTACCGCCATCTACGGACAACTGCTGCTCAAGAATCAAGAGTGTGTTGCTGGCTATTAAGGTGTCTCATCATGTTAAAAGAGATGATAGCTAAAAATTTCGGTTATCATTATTTGGTTTTATTCAGCAACAATGACATAAATATTACCTTGCATTTTAAGTTAAATCATCAAGTTTAAGTTATTTAAGTTTTTTTTTTAAAGCCAACGCTTATTGTATATATTTAACGTGAAACTTTACAATTGCTCTCCTGTAAAATGATATATTTTGAGAAAAGTCGACCTTGTTGCAAATGAGCGAAATGTCGATTATCATTATTTTGGTGGGGCCCTTGCACATATAAAAGCATGCTACTTCATTTCTGCATCATTCAAGCATGGGGAGAAAAGGTCTTAGGGTAATTCCACTGTTTGTATTTATCGATCTAAACAACAAATGAATCCAGAAGCAAAAAGTTTTAAGTACGGAATATAGCTTGCCTGCAGTGTGCTATTTGTACTTAAAGCAAACTATATTTTATTTTGTACATTCTCAGTTTACTCAATGGCTGGGCGAATACGTACACTTTCACAAAAGCTGTTGCCGAAGAACTGATCAGAATCGATGCTGGAGATCTACCGATATGTATCGTTCGACCACCAGTAGGTAATAAAACAATATACAATATATTTTAATCATCAACAGCCTATACCAGTCTACTGCTGGACATAGGCCTCTCCTTAGAAAGGACGTTTGGCCTACTATTCTACGCTGGTCAGACGAGTTAATATAGGGTTTCTTTCAAGTTTTCCTTCTTTTTGCAGTGCTGTCGTCCTGCGTAGTTTGCTCCCTTAGTCGGCTCTTACGACACCCACGGGATGAATAGGAGTGGTGACATTCCGTATTCTTAATCTGTCCACACGGACTATACTATATACTAATACTATATTTTAATACAAAAAGTTTAATCTTCTGTGTCATAAAAGTACAGTCACGAGCAATGAATATACATGGACAGAATTTCAAATAAATGTTGACTAAAAAAAACAAATAGTCACCAAAACAATATATAATAATATAAATATCAGAGTTCTTTATAAAAAATATTTACACGAATAGTTTTCAAATATTGGCACACACTTTCATATGTAAAATTATGAAGCCATTATGAATTACAATAATAATTCACCAATGTAATTTTTCAAAAATGTAAACAATACAATTTCATTACAATGTAAACAATTATGACTGTGATTTTTTATCACTCATATGTATACACTTATAAAACAGTAGCAGTTTTCACTAATCTGAAAAATGTGTATCAATTTCAATAACCATGTAGGTACACAATGTAGTTTTCAATATAATGTTAACATATTACGAGTATGAAGGTAGCCAGGGCGCCGCGGAAGGCGATACCGTGAACCGCTTTTTATTCGTTAATGACTTTCCTATCTACCTTCTTTTTTCTGTTCGGAAATCCCCTCGGATACCACCACTTATGGAGGGTAGAAGCCAGGAGATAATTGACATAATGTCGCAGAAAGAGAGATTGATACATAATATTTTTCTCGTACCTTTATCTAAAATTCGATTATTGTTTACCTTGACTGAGCGCAGATGATACAACTGTTGCATGCAAAAATTAGATCCATAGAGTCATGTCTTTTTTTTAAGAGGGGGCAAACGGGTCGCCTGATGAAAAGTGACTACCGCTGCCCATGAACGCCCGCAACTCAGGAGTCACAAACGCGTTGCCAGACTTTTAGTGAAGAGAAGAAGAAGGAGTACGCTCTTTTTCTTGAAGGCTTGAAGATCGTATCAGTTCGGAAATACCGCAGGCAAAAACTTAGATCACAGATTGCTTATCATCATCAGCCTATCGCAGTCCACTGCTGGACATAGGCCTCTCCCATTGCACGCCACTTAGATCGATTTTGGGCTTTTCGCATCCAGCTCCTGCCAGCCATCTTGCGCAAATCGTCACTCCACCTGGCCTGTGGGCGTCCTACACTACGTTTACCGAGACGCGGTCTCCACTCAAGAACTCGTTTTCCCCAACGGTTGTCGGTTCTGCGGCTAATATGGCCAGCCCACTGCCACTTCAGCTTGCTGATCCGGTAGGCTATGTCGGTGACCTTGGTTCTCTGCCGGATCACCTCATTTCTGATGCGATCCCTTAGAGAAACGCCGAGCATAGCCCTTTCCATAGCACGTTGAGCGACTTAGAACTTGTGGACCAGCCGTACCGTAAGTGTCCACGTTTCAGCTCCGTATGTCATGACGGGTAGGACGCACTCATTAAAGACTTTCGTCTTATGGCACTGTGGGATCGACGATGAGAAGACTCGACGTAGCTTCCCAAACGCTGCCCAACCCAACCGAATTTTTCTGTTCACCTCGTCCTCGAAGTTGTTTCTACCTAACTGCAATGTTTGCCCGAGGTACACATAATTTTGAACAACTTCGAGAACGGCACCGTGTACCGCAATCGGTTCCGGTAGTACATGTTCGTTGAACATGACCTTGGTTTTATCCAAGTTCATCCGTAGGCCGATGCGTACAGAAGCGTCAGCTAGGTCATTCAGCATTTGCTGTAGGTCCTGCAACGTCTCTGCCATGATATGACGATGTCGTCTGCAAATCGCAAGTGAGAGATGTATTCGCCATTGATATTGATGCCACGCCCTTTCCAGTGCAGCGTCTTGAACATGTCCTCCATTGCATTTGTGAACAATTTCGGGGAAATAACGTCCCCTTGTCTCACTCCTCGATGCAATGGTACGGGCCTTGTTTGCTGATTCTGAACTTGGACGGACATGGTAGCGGCTTTGTAGAGACATCTCATCACTTGGATGTATCGCCTATCTACTTGGCAACGTTGCAGGGACTCCAGAACAGACCAGATCTCGATCGAGTCAAAGGCTTTCTCATAGTCCACGAATGCTAGACACAGGGGCTGATTATATTCTTCGGTCTTCTGTATAATCTGCCGCACTGTGTGGATGTGGTCTATGGTGCCATATCCGCTCCGAAACCCAGCTTGCTCCGGTGGTTGGAATTCGTCGAGTCTTTGCGCAAGACGGTTCGTGATGACTCTCGAAAACAGCTTGTAGATGTGGCTTAGAAGGGATATGGGTCGATAGTTCTTCAACCTGGTCTTGTCACCCTTTTTGAAGAACAAGACGACCACACTCCTACTCCACGCTTCCGGAGTTCTCCCTTCAAACAGGACAGCGTTGAAGAGCTTTTGGAGCTCCCTTAGTACAGGTTTACCCCCGGCCTTTAGCAGCTCTGTTGTAACGCCGTCCTCTCCAGGGGCTTTTCCATTTTTCAGCTGTCCAAGAGCCATCTCGATTTCGTCAATGCTAACTTCTGGCAGGTCTTCGGTGTAGTGACGTGTTAATGTGGCTCTAGAGTCCTCATTTTCGGGATCAGGTCGAGATGCATGGGAAGCGTATAACCGGCCATAGAAGCTTTCCACTTCCAAAAGGACTGCCGGCTTCGAAGCAACGACTTCTCCACTTTCTGTGGTCAACTTTGTCAGGTGGCTTCTTCCAAGAGATTGTACGAACACTTTTGACCCCCGATTTTGCTCGATCGCTCTTTCAATTGAAAGAGTATTGGAGCACCGGAGGTCGTGTCGTACGAGTTTACTGATCTCTCGGTTTAGAGTCCGCTTTGCCGACAAAGTGACAGGAGGGTTTTCACGTCGTTTCTTCATCAACCCTAGGGTCCCTTCTGAAAGCTTCGACTTCCTGCCCTTACGCTGCATTTCACATAATCTCGTACCTTCTTCCCTGAGGATCCGAACCACATTTTCGAGGTTCTGGTTTACGTCGATTGTGGTTTCCACGGCAGCGAATCAGTTTTCCAGTTTTGACTGGAACGTTTCAGATCCTGTCATGGCTTGGAGCAGAGTCGGTCGGAGCCTGGATTTCATCAAACAGACACGTTCCGCCTTAAAGTTGATATTCAGAGAGCCCGGGACAAGTCGGTGATCACTACCAGTATTAAACCTATTGATCACTGAGACGTCTCTGAATATGTGCTTTCTATCCGTCATGATGAAATCGATCTCATTTTTGGTCATAGCGTCGGGGCTTTGCCACGTCCACTTCCTTTGGGGCTGTTTCTTGAAGAAAGAGTTCATCAAAAAGAGCCCCTCCCGTTTGAGGAAGTTGACCAGCATTTGCCCCCTATGATTCCTGCTTCCAAATCCATGGGATCCTACTACCGATTCGCCGCAATTCTGTACACCCACTTTAGCGTTGAAGTCACCCATAACAACGTTGTAGTGGGTCTTAGTTGTGAAGTGGAGGGCCCTCGATATGTCATCGTACATATCCTCCACCTCGTCGTCCGAGTGTGCCGAGGTCGGTGCGTACACTTGCACAACCTTGAGGCTATACCTCTCGGTGAGCTTGATAATGAGGTACGCTACCCTGTTCGACACACTGGAAATTTGCACAACGTTGTCAGATAAGGACTTATTTACCAGAAACCGAACGCCACCTTGGGATTGTTGGTCTCCCTCGCGGAAGTACATTAGGTGGCCTGACTCGAGGGTTATGGTGTCCTCCCCCTCTCTTCGGACTTCACATAGCCCTATGATATGCCACCTAATCTTCCCAAGTTCCACCTCAAGTTGTGCCAGATGCGAGTCTAGCCGTAGCGTGCGTCCATTGTACGTAGCCAGGGTCAGTCGGTTGTGGTGGCCTCCCGTAGCCCGGAGATTCTTCGCACCCCCTGCCCCGCCTTTACCGTGGTCGCCACCATGACCAGGAATAGCGGAGCCGCCGGGAACTGAGGGCCGTGGCCTTTGTTGCGTCTGCATGGGGAGGGTTTGCCCATAATCGCCACGCTGGGCAGGCGGGTTGGCGATCGCAGGGCGTAGCTTGTCGCACCGGTAACGCTGCTGCCCGTCACCGGCCTGTTGTATTTAGCTACGCCTATTGGGATGGATATACCGCCATCGGTCGGTCGCCAGAGCCTCGTTCGTCATTCAGCAGGATGCACCTTGGGCAGGTGAGGTTGGCTTGGGGCGAAAGATGGTGGTTCGCCCCTCACACCCCCGACCTCACACACCAGATTGCTTATGCGAAGCAAAAAGTGTCTTAATGATGTCTGATGTAAAAAGCTAAGGAAAGCAACTAGCTTCTTTATAAATCTATCTTAAATCAATTTATAATCGATTAAAAAAATGATAATTGCCTCAACATATTTTTTTATTTTGCATATGGCAATAATTTGAAAAGTGTTGTCAGGCAAAATATGATAATACAAAAACAGTTTCATATCTTATTAGTTTGACATAATCCTCATGAAAATCTATCATTCTGATAGGAGAGTGAATTCAAAAATAAAGAATACATGTAAAAAAAATTCTTTTTTTTTTGGTACAATACAGTCATAAACATAAAGCAATATAAAAATATACTGAACAAAAGACAAGGAGTACCCAAGAATGGATTTAAATGAATGTAGTACATTTCACAGAGCGTTAGACTCAAATAACCTGTGGAAATGACACAAGAAAGAAAGAAATTAGAAAGAAGTAATATTGATATTATTTTTATCTGTGCCCGTCAGAAAAACTTGTATCTTTAATGGTCATTTCCCTTTGCTAAAATTTTTTTTACGGCGCTACTTAGTAATATTCTTTCGAAAATTTTGATGGCAGCGTTCCACACGCTCTCGCTCCATACCATGGCCGCAATCATGGTACCGAGCGAGAGAATTCCCACTTTGATATCCCACGCGGGGCATTCTGCCAGTGTGTGGGCACCGTGTCAACGGTCCGCCAGTTTTAAATGTTCAAGAAATAGTCACATATACATAAATATAACTTTGGGAGTGTGGTGTTTTGTTTACTTTACTACGAAGATAAAGTATACCTAATTTTGACACAGATTGGACATTATATAATTTTGAATACAACATGAGATATTTATTTTCAAATATTAACATATATTTGCAAATATGGTAACGTTTACATTTCAATGCACGTGGATGTACATTAGATAGGAGATAATTATTAACTCAAACAGAGGCACCTCATGCGTGTACCACCACCTACCGGTTTTCTGTAAGGCTTCGTGGTTGATCCTTTATGACAATCGCAATCGAACAACACAATGACTGATTCTAGGTGTTATTGTGATTTGTGATCACATCATGGTGAGATTGACTACAGAAGGGAAACAAACGTAGTTTTTTTTTTTTAAATAAGATTTCAAACAACGACATCGAAACTCGCAGACAAACAACTCCAACTGATCACATTCAACGGTCTTTATCATTATTGTTCGGTAAAGAGCCTTTGGATTAGGCTCCCCGTATACCGGTGTTACTCTGTTTATCAGGTGGCCTAAGTCTGCAGGGGTTGTCCGTGGGTTCCTCGCTACAATATCCTGGTTCCCCTACAATAGACTTACTTGTGACGGAACACTGCATGGTTTCAGTTTTTGAGTCCTACATCTACTTCACCTTCGGCTCTGGATAGGTGGAGAATGACCTGTGGGAATTTCAGTAGGAACAGGAAAAAGTGTATCAATTTTTTTTCCAATGACAGCTAAGCCGCTAGCGACTGCTGGTCCTAAATAAGTGTTTTATTTTATTTGATAGTGGCTCCCGCTTACTGCGAGCCTGCGCCGGGGTGGTTAGATGTCTCTGCGGTATTTGGACCTAGTGGAGTAAGAATACAAATAATTTGGTTTTTTAATACTGACTTTATAGTGTGTATGCTTGTTGTCTTTTTTTTTCGTTTATTGCCTTAGGTACTGCCAGTGGTGCTACCAGAATTTTCTTATAGTTTTTTTTCTAAAATTGTAGTAAAATATTTTTTTTAAATATTTATTATTAAAATCTTTCTACTTTGTCTTTCTTTTTAATCTAATAAGTAATATTACATTTCATTGTTAGTTAATTAATTTATTTATTCGTAAATAGAACCTACTATCGTACAGTGGACCGAACATCATTCACTCCAGACTGCGTATAATAATCATGTGAACTTATAGTATCCATACTTGATGTATAGTCATCGATTCTAAAGATAATCCACCACAAGCCTGAGAAGCTACGTATATATCAAAACTTTATTTCATATACAGTTTTGTCCAATATGTTTTATTTTTTCTCAGTTTCTCCTCGGACCGATTTTGGGTGTATTGCATCTGTTTTTAGCTGATAAGGATTTAAAACTCTCAGTTACCCCAATCGACATAGTGAACAATATCACTATCATGGCTCCTTGGGATGCGGCAGAGAGACGACGTAATGGCGAAGCGAATATACCTGTTTATAATGCCACAAATAAAAACTGTTATGTTACTGTTGGTAAGTAACATTTATTTGGTTTAAGGTGTTTACAACATAACACAGATATACGATGTTCTAAAACATGTATACTTCAAATGGTAGTAAAAAAGTTTCCTACTTCTTTTTTATATATTTAATGTAAGAACAACTGCTGCACTACCAATTAAAACCTCTAGGGCCCACCAGACTTGTGAATATCGAGGGAAAAGTATATTTTACGCAATGTGTTAAACGCTTCAACTGGTTTTACATTTGTCGCGCATTCAAACTTTGATAACCTCGCCATTTCGCACTCGAACATGATTGGCCCGATTCGATTGGCGATTGGCCACAAAGGCAATTCGAGAAGCTTCCTTTTTTTATGTGAATTAAGAACATGCAAGACTGGCGATCTACAACTTTGTTATATTTACTAAAGTAAAAATAAATGTGTAACAACCAAAGCAAAGAGTTTTCAATCGTACGAGAAGGCATCGCCAGTCACACAAGTCGCCAACACACTGATTTTTGAGTGAACCGGATTTTCGGCATACAGCTCTGATACCTCGGTACGGTCGGCGGTACATTACCCCTGTCATCCAAAGTTGGATGCACAGAATTCGCCTAGAAGATCGGCTATCTCCTTGGCATAATGGGCTAACGAATTATTTACCATCTGACGGGATGGAAGGGATAGACTACATGAATTCCCCTGGACTGCCTTGACAAAAGACCAGAACGCGCGGGTTCCAGCTAGCAATGGCTCTTTTCCGACTTTGAGGCAAATTTGTATGGTTTTTGATGTGCTGGTATTTACATCACCTACTGTCGATTTTATAATAAAATCCCAAATGGCATTAAGTCCGACTTATGTAATGTATTTGCAAGAAAAATAAATTATACAACTTTAATATTAAAGTTATTTGCATATACTAAGTTTAGCCATTATTATTTTACTATCTTATTATTGAACTTTCTACAAGGATGCCTCTCTGAACCAGGGAGTACATAGCACTCAGTTTTGGGGTATAATAGTTTTTTTATGAACAGCAGGTGACATCTGAACAAGGACGTCTTAGGACCTTGTCCTCTGAAAACTGAGTAACACCTAACACACAGTCTGTGAGTTCCATATACTAGCACCTACAACCTCCGTTCAGATCTCGGGTTTTAGAACTAGTACAAACTATCTTGGAATTCTAAAGGATTTTTACTGTACCAAGTAAATTGTACCCTTGCGGCTCTGTATCAGTGGCGCAAGGAGGCGCAGGAGTTGGGTCGGTGTCCTGAGTCTCGAGAAATCGAGGATTAGAAATCCCAACTTCGCCAGGTCCTCGTGAAGAAGTGGAAGGAATGACTTGGGCAACCGAGCGCTGGGCACGCCGTTATCGCGGCGGTAAGACCCGTTATGGAGGATTAGCTCGAAAGGCATCACTGAACCCTCTCATACCGGTTGACGCAGGTGATCACCGGGAAAGGATGCTTCGGAGATCACCTGTGTCTGATCCGCAAGGAGCCAACGCCTGAGTGCCACCGTGCCGTCTGATGGCCGGACCGTGGATACGGCGCTCCACACGCTGGCAGATGACTCAGGCGCCGGAGGTCGCAGAATAACCTAGGTCCTCTAAACCGCAGGCCTGGGGGTGGTAGGTGAGGCCATCTGTCACCCTAGCAGAAGCAGGCCGGGATGTTGGCAAAACGCGCTGCGGAGCGCGCGCCCCCTTTTGGGAGCACAAAAGGGACATAGAGGTTTTCTCTCAGGAGGGGGTCATTTACACGCCGTAGATGGGTCGATATACGTCGGGGTATCACGGATTTCCTTCCTAGAGTACACCTGGTTCCGCGGCAACTGGTACCCGAGACGGCGTGCAGTTTTTTGGTCGGTTCGAGTCCGACATAACCACCGGCGGGTGGTATCCGAGGGGATTACCGCACAGAAAAAATAAAAAAGTACCTAGTAAATTGTAAGTTTAAAAGAAAAAATACTTAGGTAACATCTTGTATTATTTGTTCAGGTCTCGTTGATAAAATCCTAGTTTCCTCATCAAACTAGATTTTCTGTCCCAAAGCTATATGGCATTGCGACGCTATGATCAGGAAGCACGATATTCTGTACCGGATTCTTGCATCTAAGCATGCAAGGTATTTCATGAGGATTTTTTTAGGTGACATCTACAGACGCGGAACCGTGACGAAACAACTTATGGTTTCAGTCAGTTCAAGTCCGCCTTAAAACCTTGTCCTTTACAAACTGAGTTGTGACTGTGGATTTAGGTCCTGGTATATACTATTATCTAGAACCACCGCTCAGGTCTCGCGTCCCGAAAATAACACAAATTATATTGGATTTCGAATGGGATTTTACAGACGTAAATTGCAAAGAAAAACAAAATAATAAAACAACAACTTTTTTTTATTCAGGTCTCGTTTGTGACACCCTAATCGCTTCTCGACATAAACTTTGCTCTCCTAAAGCTGTATGGCATTGCAGCGCTATAGCCACGAAGAACGATATTCTGTACCGGATCCTTGCCTTGTTTCTACATTACATTCCTGCCTATCTGTTAGACAAAGTCTTAGACATATTGGGAAAGAAGCCGGAAAATATAAAATCGTAAGTACTTGACAACTTATTAACCACATTTCATAACTTTTTTGTTCACAAATTTCACAAAGACAAGTAAAACTTGATTACATCAGTGATATCCTACGTGAGATACTGAAGTAGAAAAATCTGAGTTAAAGAGCACCAAGACAAAATCAAATAAAACATTGTATAATATCATCATCTTAGATATTAAAGTCTAATATGTAAAGTGTGTGTGTGTGTGTGTTGCGTAAGAGTGTGTTTATTAATCGTGCATCCATGTGTGTAATTTTTAGGAATAATGTGTATTTATGAGCTAGAGATGGAATAAAATCAGAATCATCTATTATAAATCATATAATCACACCTGTGGCTAATTTACAAATCTAAAGTACAGGTCCTAGTAACACAGTACTTATTAGAAAAAGCATATATGAAATGGCTCTAACGATATTTAAGAAAATTCTTAAAGATATTAGAGATTTTTGTAGTGATAGTTACGGGGACGGAATAGTTTTAAAATGTTTGCAAGGAGTTCCTTATAAACAAATAGCTTTTATTCTACAACTGCATTACTGATTATAAGTCTGACTAATTTATTTGTGTTAATTTTGTTTATTTTTGTGTTGCTGTGTGTAATTTTAGGTCTAGTAATATATGGAATAAAGTTTAAGGTTTTATTTTGCCGATTCTTAGTAAACTGATTTCATAAAAATAAGCTATTTAGTATTGTAGGATTTAACAATTTTGTATGCCCATGAACAATGTAGCGACCTATATTAAATAATATATGTAACATCTAATATTAATCTTACCTATATACAAATAAATATTTCTATTTCTACGCTAGCGCCAGACTCGCGAAAGGTCTAAATCTCAAAAAAAGGTCGTAGTCTTTGATAATAAGTTTGTTTTTTTTAGCTTTGTCTTTTATCTTTTATATATTTATCTTTGTCTAAATCCCAGTAGTGATTTATCATAGGTGAAATCACAGTGACTTATACCAATTTATGATTTTCATTTAAAAGTAACAATAAAATCCATCACTAATATGAGTGTTGTTAATGCTTAATATGGTTTTTAATTTATGTGATTGGGATAAATAGCAGTCCTGTCTCAGTGTATGATGATTTTTCTAGCCATTACTTCATCTTTCCAATAATTTGTAACTATTAAGATGGTATACGGAAAGAAGTTTTTTTATTGTACAAATACTACATAAAATCAAATAACATAAAAATGTATGTGATATGGTTGTTCTCTATTATCTATGTATATCTGGAGTAAAAAGTGTGATTGAACTTCTGGAATATGTCAACCGTGGAATGCATCAAGGGGCGAAAGAAAGAAACTTTTATTACAGCTCTTTGATTGCGTTTCAGTTCTATTAAAAGACTTGACAGAACGACTTGACTGTTTCTTGTTCTACGTGTGAATAGATCTAAAATATGAGCATGAAATTCAATTTTTTGTCAATGATAACACCAAGATGTTTTATTATGTCAACTGATTGCAGTTCATGACAGATACATCGACTAGGGTTCTTTGATTAAACTTGATAGTTCCACAGTTACCATTCACCGATTAGTTTGGAATATGTTATTTATCAGAAAACATTGCAATTTAAAACAACAGTGCTGTCGTCTGCAAATAACTGCGTAATATTTTTTTCATTTTTCATATTCTGATGTTAATACTACGAGTATTCACACAGATTGTTAATAAAACTTAGCAAAGAAGAAGGACTCCTACAGTAGGTATTTGTATGGTCGTCACTACGCACGCCATCTAGTGCAACACATTTTGGACGGTTCGTGAGGTAGTTCGCAAAAAAATCAAGATATTTGCCGCGAATACCCAACCGCTATAGTTTGTTTTATGTTTATATATGTTTGATTTCCTTTTCGTCCATACTTTTAACAGCAGTATTTCTATGTTCGGAAACGCGTCATCGGTCGACCAGTTTTAGCGAAAACCAAATTGTCTAGCAGGTTTTAACTCTCAATATAGTTGACAAGTCCTTTGTTAACAATTTTTTTCATATTCTTAGAAAAAGGAGGCGAGTAGGCCTTATATCTATAAAAGGCGATAGCTGCTGAAACATTTTCATTCACCAGTTTTGACCACCGTGTGGTGACGGATTAAGAATACAGTGTCACCACCCCATTTCATCCCGTGGGTGTCGTAAAAGGCGACTAAGAGAGCAAACTACGCAGGACAACAGCACTGCAGAGAGAAGGAAAACTTGACACAAACCCTATACCAACCCGTCTGGCCAGCGTGATGTAGTAGGCCTAAACCTCCTTTCTAAGGAGAGGCATATGTCCAGCAGTGGACTAGTGAAGGCTGTTGATGATGAATGAGATGAATGAGTGCACGTTTAAGTGCCTTTGGGAAGAAGCCTGGCGACATTGTTAGATTTTACACATTTTACGTGAAAGGTTCATGTAAAATACTTTGCAATGAATGCAGTCTAAGCCAATAGCACAATCGTTTTGTAGTTTGGTTGCTGTTAGGACAATGTCATAAGTGTTTGTTGAGGACAGAAAAAAATATTGTGAGTGAATAATGAGAGTATGAGAACCTTCTCATATTATAGGAGGAGGATTATAGGATAGGAGTTTATCGAACTAGATCCCTCTTAGCTCTCGGCCAAAGTTAGACCAATTTTCATAAAGCTTTGGTAAAATCTGGTACTTGGCAGACTCAAAAGGGTTCTTATTTCTTATTAAGTTGGATGGATGTTTTTGATGACTTTCCAAACCTGTTTGGTGTTATTAGTTATTAATTTCAGACTTCATTATATCACCTTCCAGAATATAAATTGCATCCGAGGGGTAATTGAATTGATTGACAAAATCTTGAATTTTGTTTTTACTGTTATTGGTATTGGCATACACATGTGGCACTAAACTTATTGTCATAATTTTAAATTAGTAGTTTTTATATCGTACGAATAGGAAAGTGATATCTACCTGTATTTTGTACTCCGTTTTTATTAGTCGGGCGAGCTATGCTTCGGCAGATAAAGGCTGACTGGCTGGAGTGATACACTGCTTAATAAAAAAGTTCTATTTATAAGATACATTACTTATTTATAAGATACATTAGTTATTTTTAGCAACTACAAGTAAATTCTTGCGTTGCATTTTATTATCTTATCGAATATTTTAATTTCAGTTTCGTAAAGCTCTATAAAAAGATAGATGATTGTTTTTGGGTGTACAAGCTTTTTTTCTTCAACGCGTGGGATTTTAAAAATGACAATGTCACTAAAATGATCAGAAGGATGAGCGACTCAGATCAGGCGATCTTCAACTGCGACTTAACGGACTTTGATAGAGAAGAGTTTATACGAATTTGGGGTGTTGGTCTTAGAAAATATATAATTAAAGACGGACTGACAGGAGACAGGGCTGCGGCTAAATGGCAGTATGTCTATATAACAATGAATTTTGTTTTTTTGTTTGGATCAATTTATTTGTTATGGAAATTGTTTTCATTTATGGTAATTTGATTTAAAATATATAAATACATTTGATTTTTGTGTTTAATTTCTACTTTATCAAATCATCATGTCAAGTGGTGTAGTGGTCGAAAAGACCTTACCACGTCTCATTACTCCATCAGACCTTCAGCAAGAGTTTTGAGTATTTCGGCATACACAACAATGACATTTCGTGGCAGCTTTGAATATGTAGCAGGGGGATAATGCCACTAACCCACAACACGATACTGGATTTGAATACCACCGATAATTAGGGATCCAAAGACCCCACCTTAAAACTTTTTAAAACAACGACAACAGTAACACACTTACATACATATCTGTAGCAGAAAAAAATAAATAAATGATAAAATAAAAGTGATAAATATAAAGTGAAAAACATAAAACTCCGTGTGGTGACGGATTAAGAATACGGAGTGTCACCACCTATATTCATCCCGTGGGTGTCGTAAGAGGCGACTAAGGGAGCTAATGCAGGACAACCAGCACTGCAAAGAGAAGGAAAACTTGACACAAACCCTACACCAACCCGTCTGGTATACTAGGCCAAAACCTCCTTTCTAAGGAGAGGCCTATGTCCAGCAGTGGACTATTAAAGGCTGTTGATGATGATGATGAATATAAAGTGTTACATCATAACCATCAACAACCTTTAATAGTACACTGCTGGACATATGCCTCTCCTTAGAAAGGAGGCTTAAGTGTTTTTGTTCACAGGAAATATACATTTTTTTAGTGACTGGGTTTACTTCTGCCAAACTATAAAGCAGTTTGTTGGCAGATTTAGCTCCCATATAATAAATATCAATAAATTAAATTTAAAATATTAATTAATTAATTACAATTCTAAATTTTAAATGAAAACAATAATAAATAATAAGATTGAGATTGTATATCCCGCGATAGCTAATGAGTCGCCGATTATTAAATATCAAGACCCTACACAATCGCAAGATATGCAATCTCAGAGAATATTTTCTACTTACATACCGATGTGGGAATGCATCGCAATGTAATTGCAGTGGATATTGGATTCACCCCGCTCGCTCTGGCTAAAGAGAATTGGCGCAAACCTGTAGTACTTAGTACTAATGATCGTAGGGAAGTTTGGAAGGGCAAAGAGCTCCATGGCCGGTTTCATCGGGCCCTAAACGGGTCCAATATAGACTTTAAAGCATCTACGATTTGGCTACGGTATGGCGATCTCTTCGGAGAAACTGAAGGTTTTATTTGTGCGATTATGGACGAAGTTATCATGACGAATAACTATCGGAAATATATCCTGAAAGATGGTACGGTTGACATTTGTCGGGCATGCCACCGTCCTGGGGAATCAATCAGGCATATTATTTCTGGTTGTTCTCGTCTCGGTAACGGTGAATATTTGCACAGGCACAACCAAGTAGCCAGGATCGCACACCAACAGCTTGCTCTTAAATACCATCTTGAGAATCTAGAGGTGCCATACTACAGGTATGTGCCCGACCCAGTTCTCGAGAATGGTCGGGCCACGTTGTATTGGGATCGATCTATTATCACAGATAGGACTATTGTTGCCAATAAGACTGATATTGTAGTGATAGATCGATTAGAGCGCCGCGCAATGATTGTTTATATCGCCGTTCCTCATGACGAGAATCTCGTGAAAGTTGAAAAAGAAAAACAAATAAAATATATGGATTTATCTCACGAGATTGTCGATATGTGGAATGTCGATTCAGTGATCATTGTTCTGATAGTCGTATTTGCTCACGGATTGATAGCCAAGAGCCTCGACCAACACCTTAAGAGGCTCACGTTGGACGGCTGGATCAAGGGTCTGAAGCAGAGAGCAGTCCTCCTTGACACGGCTCGTATAGTGAGGAGGTTCCTATCTTTGGAGTCTTAACCACCGGTGTCCTGGTCCCTGCACCCGATGTCGGTGGTCTAATATTTTTTATTATATTTTTAAATGTATTTTTATTTCTTTTGTAATATATTTAAAAATGTAATTAATATGTATATATAATTTAATAAAGAGAATAATAAAATAATGGTAATAACAATAATATTTAAACGTGATTACAGATTGTCAACATTACATAATAAAATAAATAAAAATGCCTTTTATTTTCAGTTTTTACAGATTAACATAAAGAATATTGTATCTATCTTTTTACTTAGTTAACAAGAAAATAAAGGTAATAATATCAACGTAGTCTAAATTTTTAAAATATATACCTAATTATAATGAATATAGAAAACAATTTTAAGTAGGCATTAGTATTGTAGTTGTAGGTTCGATTCTGATAGTAAAATGGTAAATCGAGTAGTTACGGTACTTACCATTTTTTTTCTGTGCGGTCATCCCCTCGGATACCACCTACGTAGCTATGTTGGACTTGAATCGACTAAAAACCGCACGCCGTCTCGGGTACCAGTAGCCGGGGAACCAGGTGTACCCTAGAAAGGAAATCCCTGGTACCCCGACGTACCTCGGGCCATCTACGGCGGGTAGATGACCCCCTCCTGTGGGGGAACCCCCATGTTCCCTCGGTGCTCCCAAAATGGGCACGCGCGCTCCGCAGCACGTCTCGCTCGCGGCGAGACGGTACTTACCCTGGATAGATAGACCACAATTATTCCAGTCTAATTTGCTTATGATGGATTCTAATATCGCGATCAAAATTTTTGGGGATAATGGGTTTCCTTGTCTGACTCCTCTCCTGACTGGAAAGCTTGCACCTATGGTTTCCAGTTTGATCCTACTTGAGTTATTACTGTTTATAGGTGTTTGAGTATATTTATTTCTGCTCTACATCTTGGGCTTTTAGACTGTCCCATATACTTTTGTGTGAGATTGTGTCAAAAGCTTTTTAGTAATCAATGAATATGATATACAGCGGCCTCTTTTGTTCTTGATATTTTTTAATTACCAGTTCTAGTGTGTGAATGTGGTCTATAATAGAAACACTCTTTCTAAATCCCGCTTCTTCAATAGGTTGATTTTTCTCCAATGTTGTGCTAATTCTTTGATTGGTTATTGTAGAGAAAAGTTTATATATACTTGGTAAAAGGGTTCTCGGTCGGTAGTTGCTGATGTCTTTTGGGTCTCCTTTATTATATAACAAAGTAATATCAGATTCAGACCATTGAGATGGTGTGACACCAGTTTCAATTATCAAATAAAATAATTTTGTAAGTGGAGTAGCGACGCCTTAAAACCCGCCTGCAGAATAAGCGCATAGGCGGTTTTTAAGGCGTCGTTAGTGATGTTATCTGATCCTGGGCTCTTGCCTGTAGCTATTTAAACGTGGTCTTTGAGTATGTCAGTTTCGGCATCATCGCTGAGACGTACAGTAGAGACATGCATGACGAGGAATGTCATTGCTGTCTAAACGGAGACTGTACAATGGAGAGTTCCTTCCCTTCAATAGTGCTGAGGCGGCGAGCACTCCAATATACCATCTCCAATATCAACGCACCAATTCTTTCTAGTAACAAATGAGTATTCCAGATGATATGGCTATCATCTGGAATAACCTACCATATGGGTAGGAGAGATAAGACATTTCCGCTGAAAAAGATAACTGCATCTTGGTTAAAGCGAGAAAAGTGTGTTTTGAAAATGTGCCTGCTCTTGCCACGGGCGGATTTTTTAAGCTTTTTAACCCTCGGGTACTAACAGTAGCAGTCAAATGTCAGAATATTATTCATTGGCACTCTCATTAGGAAGATGGAGGAGGAGTATGGGGTCCCAGTACACCGGTTTTCTGTGAGACCGTGGCGTGGCGCCTATAGAGAATCAGTTTAAAGTTTTTAAGTTCTTAAAATTTAAATTTGTCATCTTTAGCATTAAAGTTTGTATGCTTATTACAAATCAGATAACAACACAACAACTTTATGACAAGGAGCTAGCTAGTTAGCCAAGAAAACTGTTATAAAAAGAAGCAACCTCGAGAGTTCGGGTTAATTTGATTCGTCTTGACCAGGACAAGAATTAGAAATAATTAAAATCATTAAAATCTTAAACGCTCATGATAAATCTGATCCGTGATCTCACACACTAAATAAAACACATATTTGAAAGTTTCACATATATTTAAGTTTAATAATTTACAAAATTTTCACTATATTTTTAAACAAAAATATTTGATTTAACAAGTTGCGCAAATGAAAACCTGAACACCTTGTTCATGTCTAAACATCTGCTTGGTTAAAGAACTAGCATCTTCGAGAGTTAGCGCATATTTCAAAAAATCGGTTGTCTGTAAAGTCGGTTTCCTGACGATAGTTGAACGTGACAACGTCATAAGAAAATACTGATGGAATGGTTGCATTTTTCAAAAATGTATTATTGTATACGAGTAGCAGCTGTCCACGCGGACGCATCGCTCACGCAAGTAGGAGAGAGACAGATGTCGAACGCTGCCGAACGCGGAGGCCGATTGTGCCTCTTTGTCGCTCGTTCCGCGCTCTCGCTTGCACTTCACGCCTTAAATGGAACGCCTCAGAGCGAGGTAACGCCGCATGAGTCATGTTTTTTCATGCGTGCAGCCGGCTCCATCGAATTATAAGACGTTGTCACGTCAAAAAAACTTAGCGATCAAGACATTATTGTTAAATTAATTCATCAGATATGTAAACTTCAATAGTGCGATTCAGATTCACTTGATTTGAAGTAGTTCAACTTATTTTAAATGGGTAGGACTGATTGTACTCATCATAAGATAGCACAACAAAGGTGCTAGTTTTCTAACCACCAATCTTGATATGAAGAAAATTTTAATGGTGATTCCAAGCTTAGTGAACTCCAGTTTGACTCCACCTTCTGCTTCCAAGACTTCGCGGCTGATGAAGGCCTCTAACTACTTTACTCCCCCTGTCTTCGGTCTACCGTCCCTGGTCAGTTTGAGATGTATAAGTCGATCATGTGTCCGAAGGATGCTGGCTTGACTGAATTTCGCTGGACATTTGCTACATATGTATGGACGTTCGCCAGTATGCGTGCGTATGTGGATTTTAAGGATCTGATTACGCTGCAATGAAATGAAATAGTATAAATATGAACCATACTTTTTCGATTCTGACACCATTTACCCTAGGGCTATACCATCTTAGGACACCATTGAATATAAATTTGATGAGCAATTGGAAAAGATTTTATTTTGCTCTTACTTCATCAATAATGTAGCATATACAATGCTACTTAACCCTTAAGGCACAAAGAAATTGAAATACTCACATCAAAAACTTTGTCACACATTGGGCACGGAAACTGCAGTGGTCTTTTGTACCCTTCATGAATGAAGCGCTGGTGGTCCTTTAGTCCCCACGAATTCACATAAGCCTGGAATTATTTTTTACTATATGAGAGAAGAGTTGAAGTTGACACGTTTCTGAAAACCGTTTCTGAACAGAATAAAAGCATTCGTGAATGGTGTGTAGGGGGTAGTGCAGTAGGTCAGAAGCGTTTAGACACCTAGTAAATTCTAAAACATTTTTAATTAAACTGAATTTAAAACATTAAATAAGTGAGTTCAATGACACAAAACTCAGCACTGTAGTTATGAAGCTACAAGTACAAGACGTTCCTACCAACTCAGTTGGCTTCGTACGCCAACGACAAGCACGTTAGGTCTATACTTAGTAACGTCAATATCAATGACATACCAATGGCATATACCACAAAAGGAGGACGGCAGATCCTGTACACCTAGTGATATATGATGAATGGTTTTGAAATTTGTACAGTTTATAAAGTGAATCATCCTAACAATTTTTATGTAATTATCATATTTTTAGAACTTTGCTAAAAGTAAATAAATTCGTCTCAAAAATTGTTACAATTACAATAACTAAACTTTCAAGTGTCGTCAACAAAACGCGAATGTTCGAGTGACCGACACTCGATCCGCCGGTAGATCACCCGTAACCGCCCTCAGCCGGTAGCACGACATACACTTAAATATAATTGACCTGACGCACCGACGCGCAGACAGTATCCAAAATTCAAGTTGTATAATCGCCAGAAGGGCGTTACAACCTGCGTGTGAATTATTAATATGCCGAACCTAAACCAGAAGCCGCACCAAGTCACCATCTTTCGGTAACAGGATAGGGTGACGTGCACCGTTAAGCAACTGAGAGTTTTGGAGTCGTCCGCCAACGCGAAGTAAACCTTATTGATCAATGAAGGGATTCAGCCGTGCAATAGCTCCCTTCAGTCGACCTAAGGACCCGATAGTCCTAATCTTATTAGCAAATCGTGCTGCTTGAACTCGTTTCACCCAAAACATGAGAGGCCCGACGTTCATTAACCGATAGGTTAGGCGAGGTGTTTCTTCATCCACCATGCGACAATTGCGGTTAAATCGATGAATCCAGCCCGTGACTCCCAGAAGTTTATTGAGAGTGCTGTACCTAGATATAAGAGGATCTGAAGGCGTGGCCTATGTTTTGACTACCGCAATCCTAATGCCATGCAGAGAGTACATGCAGAGAGTGCGTACCATCCAAAATAGCAGGAGGCCACGTCGATACCAGATCCACCTGCCACTTTGGACCCCACCAGAGGGGATGGTCTACCAAAGTGGGAGCATCACAACCCCGTGAAGCCACATCCGCCGGATTGAGTTCACCTGGAACGTGTCTCCAGGTCAACTTCGCCTCCGAAGCCTGGATCTGAGACACTCGATTGGCGACAAAGACTTCCAACCTGTGGGGAGAAGCCTGAAGCCAAGCCAGGACGATTTGGCTATCCGACCAAGCGTACACCTCCGATAGTTCTATCAACTTGCCTAACGTAAAGGTAACGCGATTCAGCAACCTAGTGAGTAAGGCAGCTCCCGAAAGTTCCAACTTAGGGATAGTCAACCGAGTCCTTAGAAGAGACACCTTACTCTTAGAAGTTACTAAGTGAACCGCCGTAGTACCATCCCGCTTTACGGTACTTAAAAACACCACCGCGGCGTATCCTGACACCGAAGCATGCAGAACCCGTGTAAAGATGCTTTGTATTTCCCCGATGGAGGGAAATGGCGTGGGATCGATTCTCTTGGAAATGTTACTCGCTCCCGTCGAGCCAACTCCATTAGGCTCCGAATGGCCATCCAAGGGCTGGACTTTAATCCGTAAGTATTTGTAGCCAGTTCGTTGACCAAAAGTGGCTGCGACGGATATTCCCTCCAAAGAATCAATTGTTACCGACTATCATCCGGATGCATGATCGTTTGCCTAAACATCATTCGAATATCTGTGGCAAAGACCACCACCAATGGTTGGATGCACAAATTTTTACTCACCATACACAATTACACGACGTTACACACTAAATATATGTTAAATGCAAATAATGAAATTCGAACTTTTTCCGCTGGGGCAACGCAAGCCTTCAGTACAGTCTATATTGAAACTATAAACTGAAATAACTTTTGAAAGCAAAGTTCTAAAAATCTGGTAATTAAAACTGTACTAGTAGATGGTATTACCAACCTAATAAATACAACAATAATCCCTACCATGAGATACGCAAGGCGGTACAAAAGTCCTATACATGCCTGCCATTGTCCTTTGTGAGCAGAGTAACCTTGTGCTTTATTTAATTCCATGATGATTCATTGATCACACTTATAACAATAAGTGTTTATATACACATAATATACATAAATAAATATTACCTTATCACATCTGTCACATCTGAAGGGTTTGACATTTAGATGAATCCGATTCATGTGCCGTTCAACGTCTCGGCGATTCGAAAAACGTTTTTCACAGTGTGAACAGGACAGGCTGAAATACAATTTCACTACAAAAATCATAATTTAGATTTTGAATGCCAATAAGAAGCAAACACAGAAAGAGCACTGAAGATACAGAATCCTGAAGAAAGCAAGAAAGACTTCAAGATAGTTGTTCTGGGTTTCTTCATTAGTATGGTCTGAAGAATTGTCTGAACCCTCTTCGTGGTGACACACGGCCTGCTCTGCCTCTGTACTTACATCTTTAAGTCGCAGAAACCTTAACCGTTCTTTTGACGGAACATAAGTTTTTATTACCAGGTGATAAACGACCACGTCTGCAGCGAGTGAAGAACTTGTAGCGAATATTCTCAGTTACGCTAACCTAATGGAATGAAGGTTTAATCCTATTGCTTTATGACTTTGTCGGTTTAGTCACTAGACATTTCCTTTAACATTAATATTGTTATAGAGGTCAGTACTTACGGTAGTTCTTTATAATTAACATGGATAGCGGTAGTCTTCAGATGAGTTTTCAATATACTTTCTGATTTGAAGCTCCTAAAACCAAATAAATATATTAACTTTGTAATTGAAACAGGGGATTTAAAATTTCGTCCTGATTAAGAAGGAAAACCTCGAAAAAATATTACTAATTAAGATAAAAGGACCTTTTGCTATATTTTGCGATATTACTCAAGCCTTTGAATAATTAAAGGCATGTGGAATGCAAGGAAACATTTAAGAATCCCACAATTAAGAACATTTAAGAATTAACACAAATACAAACCATAAGGCATGTTACCGATTAGCAAGGCGGTTAATTAGCTATAGTATACCTCAAGGTAGTATTTTAGACCTGCTTTTAATTTTTGGTTTTGTCAGAGACTTGCCTAAATGTATCAAATATCCAATGTCTTTGTTTATGTGAACTATTTTCATACTGTACGGAACGGCAGACAGTTATGAGGACCATATAAATGACTCATAAACAGCCTCTAATAGCCCATGGCTGGACATAAGTGAAGTAGTTCTGCACATCACACACGAAAGTGTTTGATGCTGTTTTTAATGCCTATCGGGGGCTTACTGGATCGATGTTTTCATTGTATTTTGTGTTTATTCAATAACATTCTTAAATATAAACTTATCTGATGATAATTTATGACATTGTTCTTGCTATTTTATTTTGAACTTTCTATGAAATTGTATCATGGTAATTATTATCTTTTTAAATACATCAATCAGCTACAATACTCGGAAACAACGTCCATTGGCGCAATGCCAACGGAAGCATGCGCGCTGTAATCGCTACAATCGTATCGAAACGCTGCTCGATTCAAATCATTACTAGAAAACTTTTTCTTGCGCGTCGAAAATTATCTAGAGGTTTGCTCGACGATTTCGCATTGCCAACCTAGCCATTTCATGGGCTGCCTGACTTTGCTCTTGTGATTGAGAAGCACGAAGTCGGGCCATAATAACGCGGCGCTCTTCACGTGCAATTTCTTGTTCTTATTCAGTGGTTTCATTCGCGATGTTTCGAATCCGAATTGCATTACGGCTTTGTCGGGATTGATTTGATCTTCTTGGTATCATCATCAACAGCCCTTAATAGTCCACTGCTGGACATAAGCCTCTCCTTAGAAAGGAGGTTTGGTAGCGACATTGTGAATAATAATATCGGCACAATAAGATTTATTAATACTCGTAACAGTCGCACAAAACAAACACATCGATCTCGATCGATCAATCGTTTTGCGGTATTTTCAGAACAAACCATAGACAACTTTACATGAGCTGTCAGTTGCGTTTTGTTATACCATTTACAACAAATGAACGGCTAGACTGATGTTTTGACTGATTTGACTGAGCCATTGCTCCTGGGTCCATGTTAAGTTTTCGTTTCGACGTGGCGTCTAATGGCGTATAGGTAGGCACCTATTTGGGTGCAGTGCTCGCTAATAACAACACCGCTTGAGAATTTTTCCTTTAAACCTATCTCCAGGGCGGTTAACATCGCCTGACGTCTTGCGGTCAGTTGTATGTATCGGTCCTGTTGAGCAGTAGTACTACTTCCACCTGGAAGTAGTACTACTGCCCCGGACCTCCTGGGTGCTGCTCAGCAGGATTCCCTGTATTGCTGACAAAAATGCTGAGATACCTGGGACTGATTTCTTCCCGCATTTCTCCATGGCATGAAACATGACTCACCACCCAATCTTTCCTAAAACTGCATATCTCAAAATGATAAAAGTGAGATATATACCACATTTATCAAGCAATGAAAACAATACACAATCGAAAAGTACCTATTTTTAAAATCAACCGAGATCAATAAAGATTGTATAACAATTTACTTTGCTAAAAAAGTAACATGCAGTTTCTGTAAATGATACGTGTTGCTGATGGTGTGACTTATTTCATGTGTGTATCTATACAAAATACTAGTAATATGAAAAAAGACTCACTTGTCACACTCTACACAATAATAGTTCCGTGTGTCGGAGTGTTTTATGCTATGGTTGCGGAGTTGGGACGGAGTTTTAAACGCCATCCCACATTCAGCACACACACATCTCTTACTAACTTCTACTGCTGACACCTCTTTGGAATGTTTTCTGTGAGAGTGAGATGGTGTTTGTTAAACTCCTTTTCAAACACAAATTCAATTGCATTTATTGCATACATGTAAATATTGTAAAAATAATTTCAACCAAACAATTTCATTGTACACATATTTTCGATAAAAATAATAACAGTTTAAAAAACTAAAAAACACGCTTTTTATAGAAAACCAAACTAAAAAATAGAAAGTAAATTTTAATAAATTTGAAAAAAAGCGTTGGGTGTCTGTTGCCAATAGTAAAAAGCACCCCTTGCTTTTTTTTAAAAGCGTGTTTTTTTAGTTTTTTAAATTTATATTTTTTTTATTAGTGTATTGTCATCTATATATATATTATATAATTCTGACCGTTTAAAGTCAGTCAAAATCACGCCCAAAGGAGTCGGTTACAAAACAAACAAGTGTGTAATAATAAAAAGGCTAAAGTGACTGAAAAAGTGAAAATAAGAACATTCTATTATTAAGAGAATTTGATAGGTTAAAGCAAGACCGGTCGAGTTGTTGCTAATTATCTCAATATACTTACAACATCATATGCGACTTTAGTACAGTCTTGTCGGCGTAAGTGCGAGCGCAGTACGCGCACTGCACGCGCTCGCGGCGAACGTGCATGTATAACACGTGCTTACGTAGCGACGTTTGGCACCTGCGCAGAATAGAATAGAATATATTTTATTTGCATTGATTGTAGGTACATAAAATAGTGATGTTTGATTTATTACTAGCGGTGTTAATAAAATGATTATTTTTTACCTTTTGAGTTAGCCTAGTTAGCCTAATAATCTTACTAAAGCGATTAGAATATTTTTTTAAATTTGTTTTGTTGACGACTGTCCTATTCTTTCTATATTTCCACAACAAATATCTTTGTTTTCTACTACAAACACGTATAAAACGCGCAGATACTCGTTTACATTGGCGTCTCCTGAAAGGATGGGCTAAGAGGATGAAGGATCATCTGCTAGGTATATGTTTTCTAGGCTTTTGTATATGTAGGCCCCAATATCTTATTTTTTAAAGTTTTTTTTTGTCTAAATAAGGGGTTGGTGGCCTACCAAAAGAAAATCCTACGTTCGGGTAGAACAAACGTGTGTTCACTATTGTCTTTTTTTACTTTCTAATAATTTAATAATAATAATAATAATAATTTTTATTTAAAGTAAAGATTTACAAAATTTGTTTAACAAAGATAGCCACACTAGGCTTAGCCTGTATCGAGGCTATCAATACAAAAACGATTATACATTAGGACAGTAGCAATAATATTAGAATCTTATATAAATCTCATATGAAAGATCGCAGTTTACTACAATCTATATTTATTTAATTGACTAAGTTTAAGTTGGAGCTATGTGAGTGTGTTGAGTGTGTGTGGTAGTTTGTGAGCCTGTGTGTGTGTTTGTGTGTACATGTCTAAGTATGTGTATTCGTCTGTCTGTCAATTTTCATTCTTATTTTAAGATTTTTAGCAATTGTTCGGTTTCTTTATGGTTAAGACAGCTCATGATTTTACTGATTTTCAGTTTAGCGTCCCGTATTGTATCCTGTTTGAAATTATATCTATTGACAACCTTATTGTAAATAAAGGGAAACATGAACTTCTGAAAGCGGTTTGCGAAGGATGATTTGTTTCTAGGAACAGGGACTTTGAAAATTCTTTGCTTGAGCATTTTATTGTAATCAGGGGCGTTTAACACGTTTTTATGTGTGGAAATGATGGCTTGAAATATGTATAATCGTCTTATATTCAATACTTTGGCTTCTTTGTAGAGTTCAGTGGTTGGGAATCTCAACGGTTTATTCAACATAACTTTTAAGATTGATCTCTGAGCCCTTTCTAAGATAATCAAGTGTGTTGCAGCTGAGCCTCCCCAGATATTTAAACAGTAAGTCAGGATGGATTGACACAATGATATATATATCGTTTTTAATAAATGTAAATCAGCAACATCTCTAAGTTGTCTTACAACGTAAATTAGTTTCCTTGCTTTAGCTGCAGTTGCCACGATGTGGTCTTTGTAAGAGAGTTTATCATCTAGAATTACTCCAAGATATTTAATGCTTCGTGACCTTTGTATTTTATTACAATTACAAATAGTCTGATCAAAATTACATGTGTGAATTGGAATTTTTGGGCTTAAGGCTGGAGAAGAAGCTGCAGTTTTGTGGTAGCATAAATATTTGGTTTTGCTAGTATTTAAAGTTAATAAATTATTGTGAAGCCATTTAGCTATAATCGCCATACCTTGTTCAGCCGTGGCAAAACAGTTGGCCCAAGTGGAATCATGAAATATTATTGCTGTGTCATCCGCGTAGCAGATCATCTTTGCATTTCTAAGTGGTAAGGTCGTCAGGTTATTTATATACAGAAGAAATAGAGTCGGGCCTAACACACTCCCTTGAGGAACTCCAAAAGAAGTTTCCTGCAAGGTACTGTGCAAGGAGTCCACCTTTAAACATTGTTTCCTTTCCGTCAAGTAACTTCGGAACCAGTTTAGCGCGGTTCCCCTTATTCCAATGCCTTCCAATCTCTTGAGTAATATTGGAATTGCAACAGTATCAAAGGCCTTTGCGAGATCTAAGAAGATTCCGATACACGCAAGGCCATTGTCTAGATTTGTAACAATTTCATTTGTCAATAAATTTACGGCGTCTTCAGTGGACCTTCCTTTCCAAAAGCCGAACTGACTGTCTGATAAAATATTGTTCTTCTCAATGTACTTAACTACACGTTTGTTGACTACTCTTTCTAGTATCTTAGCAAAGACAGAGAGCAAGGAAATTGGTCTATAATTGTTAGCCAAGTTGGTTTCTCCCCCTTTATGTATAGGTACAACAACAGCAGTCTTCCATTCTTGAGGAACAATTCCGGTTGATAAACTTTGGTTAATAATATAGGTTAGCGGTTCCACAATATGATTCTTGACTTTTTTTATGAGTCGGTTAGTAACTCCATCTAGTCCTGGGGCACTGTCATTCTTTAGATTCATAATTATGTGTTCTATTTCTGTATTATCAGTTGGTTCGAAGAAGAATGAGTTTAGAGGAGATGGTGAAGTGTCGATATTTTGTGCCAAAGCTGATTGTGTTGTATTTAGATTGTTTAAGATATCGTTAGCGTATTTTGGTCCTACCGATGTAAAATATTCATTACAAAGATTTAAGGATTCTTGCGGACAGGAATTTAAAAGTATTAGATCTGACGCAGGTGATTTCGTTACTACTTTTCTATGCGAGATTTTATTAATAGTCTGCCAGAGTTGTCGTGGTTGATTTTTCGAGTTTTTCAGCAATGTACATTCATATTCATTTCGTATTTTACGAATTAGAGAGTTATAAAAATTTCTATACCTGAGATATATCAGTGATTTCACTTCGTTTCTTGGCATTTGTTTAGCCTCGAGGTGTAATTTATCACGAACACGTGAGCATCTTAGCAACCCTTCCGTCATCCACGGCTTAAGAATTATCTTTGAGCGACTTATTCTAATTAATTTAGTGTTGTCTTTGATTATATTGTTTATAATATTCATAAAATGTTCTGTTTGGTCAGCCACATTCTGTATCTTCATCATCTTAGACCAATCTACATTGCTGAGCTTTTCTGAAATGGAGTCGTAGTTAAGGAGGCATTTATACCTTGGAGGTGATGTTGATGTTGTGGCCGTTGCTGTTAGACCAGTAATGACAAGGTCGTGGTCAGATATTGCTGAAGAGCAGACTATAGTCTCCACATCCACCTCTCCCTTATAGAATACGTGATCAAGGCAGGAATCATATCGAGTAGGCTTATTAATAGCTGGCACTAGGCCTTTTTTTTTTTTTTTTTTTTTTTTTTTTTTTTTTTTTTTTTTTTTTTTTTACGTGTGGAAATCCCCTCGGACCGTCACCCCGCCGGGGCTCTCGTTCGGCGGGGCGGTGTGTCGGACTCGAACCGACTAAAACCACACGGTGTGCCCTCTTTGCGCTTCCAGTTTAGGAAGGGTCCAGGTAGCTATCTCCTTCTGGACCCCTCCCAGCGCCGGCCCGCTCCTGGCGCGGGCTCCGTCTCAGTGGACCCTCTCTTTAGGCGGCGTCCGGCACACGCGGACGCCGCCCCCTCGCGGCTGGCCAACTAATGCGGGTGGAGGGGAGAACCCATCCCGTCCACCCGCGGCCACACTCAGGGCGGCATGAGGCGCAGGTGAGCGCGCCTCCGCCGCCCGGTTCGCCGGCGGCGGATCAGGTCCGAGTGGAGGTCGTCCTCCCGGGCCTTCTCCGCCGCCTCCTTCTGCGAGATTACCTCCTCGCAGAAGGTTGCGACCGCGGTAAAACAACTGTCGCTACCGGCCATGGAGCGAATTACGGCCGGTAGCGAGAGATCTGCTCCGATGACTGCAGTGAGGGCCCGGCGCTGCGTCGCCCATGCGGGGCAAACCGCCAGCGTGTGCTGGGCCGAATCCTCACCGCAGTCGCAGTGGTGGCAGGCGGGACTCGATTCCCTCCTAGCGACCGAGTACAGGTACTTTCCGAAGCAACCGTGCCCGGAAAGCACCTGCGTCAGCCGGAAGGAAAGGGTCCCGTGCTGCCGCCCTGCCCACTCGGCGATGACCGGCTGGAGAGCCTCCACGGCGGCGAAGCCAGCGCGTGGAGTCTCCAGCCGGAACGACCATCTCACCATGGTGGCTCGGCGAGCGGCTTCGCGCCACTCGCGCACGTCTTCGGGCGGAGGGCGAAATCCGCTCTCCGCCCGGAAGTCAGCCACTCGCCGATAAACCTCGGCGAGCACCTCCGCCTCCAAATCCCACGGGGGTGTTCCGGCCAAGGCGCAAGCCGCCTCGGTGGACACCGTGCGGTATCCGCGTATGGCTCTGACCGCCAATGTCCTCTGGGGGCGCCAGAGGCGCGCCCTATTCGGGGCGGTCAGAGCCGCCACCCACACCGGTGCACCATACAGCGCCATGGACCGGACAACCCCCGCGTACAGCCGCCTCGTGGGAACACTGGCCCCGCCCAAATTGGGCAAAAGTCGCCCTAGGGCGGAGGCAGTGTCCACCAGCTTCGGACCAAGCTGTCGGAAGTGCTCGTCGAAGAGCCACCTACCGTCTAGGACCAGACCCAGGTACCTCATCTGGGCCCGGACCGGTACGAGGACCGAGCCGACCTCCATTGAGGCGCCGGCGGGTGGACCACGACGGGGCCCATGAAATAATAGGGCCTCCGTCTTATCCAGGGCCACCCGCAAACCCAACGCCTCAATGCGCCGGACCACCAGGGAGACTCCCGTGGCGGCCAGGCGCGCCGCCTCCTGGAAGTTAGCCCCCCGGGCCGTGAGCAAGGTGTCATCCGCGTAGCAGATTACACCCAGCCCGGGGGGGAGACGCCCTCGTAGGGCCCAGTCGTACCCGATGTTCCACAGGAGAGGTCCTAGGACAGACCCCTGCGGAACACCGCACGACATGGCCCTGCGTCTCAAGACGCCATCTCGGTCCTCGTACATGACGGTTCGCTCCTCAAGATAGTCTGCCACCAGCCGCCTCAGGTACTCCGGCACTCCGTGGTAGCGGAGCGCTTCCCTGATGCAGCTGAATGGCAGACTATTGAAGGCGTTGGCGATGTCCAAGGACACCGCCAACACCACTCCGCCGCAGCTCACGGCCTCCTCGG